GCAAGGAGGAAACGCTTTGTTTTTGGTAGAGGCCAATGTTCACAATTACCGTCAAGAATACAGCTCTGAACGCACGCAAGAAACAGCTCCTAGGCAGGCGGTTAACACTAAACCCCCTTGGCATTATACATGGCTGGGGATATTACGGTTGAAACAGCAGAACTAGAACGCTAACAGAAACTACGCAGCGGAACGTCTTTTGAATTCTTAGCTACAAACCCTGCATTTCAAGTTTGGGGTTTCCACTGGATGGAGGCGCACCTCGCTAGCATACACCCCAGCCATGCCGCCGTGTTGATTAGCGAAATGAAGATGAGAAGGACAACGCCCTGGAAGGTCAGATCCCTGGTGCTCATTTGCTTCACCTGAGACCCAAACGGCACGCAACTCAAACCCTAAACCCTAAACCCTAAACCCTAAACCCTAGGTCTGATCACAGGCGGTCACACGGGCAAGGTTTTATTCGAAGTGCTTCTGATAAAAGGCGAATACAAGGCTTGATTGCAGGCACTAGGGGTACCGCTGGTGCAGGAAACACCAAACAGCGTGAAGGTCAAGAACTAGACAGTGACATTCCAATAGAGAAAGAGAGTTTGCGCTGCCTGGCGTTTTCTTCTATATCTTTGCAAGCCTACGTGTCCTTATTATCATATTTCTCGTACAAAACATTCGCTGGTGCACTTTTGGTTGTTTCTTTCTGCTAGCTGACTCGTGCTTAACCTAAACACGGTGCTTCGTCAGCACCAGGAAGTAAGACCCTCCCATCAAACAAACAATACGATTAAAAACATATAATTTAAATTATATAATTGCTATTTTCTGCTAGAGCCGCAGCATAAATGCATGCCCATATACATGTATTGAGTGCATATAGTACTAAACACATGCTCGTATTCTAAGGAGAGTACTGTTAACTAAGTGTTCGCCTACAAAAGTGTTTTGGGTGTCGGGGTCGTTGGATGTTGCGTTGAATTGGTTTTCTCTTGCAAACACCACAAGATCCTCTTCCTCTGCCTCTGTGTTATTGCCGAAGGAAGCGGCTGCCAGCACAGCACAGACGGCGAAGGGGAGAGCCAGCCAGAAGAGAGGATAAGTGTTAGGAAATACAGCGGAGATGAAATCCTTAAATGCAGATACGCATTTGCTAGACTGCTCCCCCTGCTCCTCGTCACTCTCTGAGTTCTCCTCCTTCTCTTCTCCCTCTTGAGCCCCTCCAAAAAACCGGCCATTCATCTCCGGATTTCTAAAGGAGTAAGAAAAAGCTGGCGGCTGCAGCAACAGCAGCAACAGCAGCAACAGCAGCAGAGCGCAATGAAGGAATAAAGGGTGTTGTCTGTGCAGCAATAACATCGCCAATGAATATGGCAGCTTAACGAGCATCCATCAGACAAGCTTCCCCACCAACAGCCGGAAACGCAGCAGCAGCAGCAGCAGAAGCAGCAACAGCAGCAAGATCAGCAGCAAAACCGAAGACCCAGAGAGCGCAGGCATAGGAGCTGAGAAGGCCTCCCGCGCCAGTGCCATG